ATGAACCACTTCTCCTGTTCAATAGATATGGAATGAGTGTAGATTGGATGATGGGTGAGCCAATCTACTTCTTTTTTTTAACTTTTGGGGAAAAAGCTCGTGAAATACGAAATAATTCATATTAACTTATTTCCTAATATAATTTCTGGTGTCTACAACAAACTCAAAAATCGGATGGTAAAACCTAATGTACTCTTGTCGCATCAAATTGTGGAGAGGGGCTGACTTAAGATGTTTTAATAATTAATAACAATGAGAAGACAAAATACACACGATAAAATGAAGGGTCGTTGCAAAATCACGTTCTAGAGAAACAAACAAACAAACAACAAAAAAATAACAAGTAAAATAAAATTCAAAGTCTGATAAAAGCTTTAAAAATCTACAAGATTTCAGAAGGCAAAATAACTAACATACGGGCTCTACAAATATTACCTTTAAAACTTGAACTACGGACGAACTTATTATCAATGGTGTTTGGGGAAAAAACATGGCTACGACCGGCTTCCCTCGGTCGGCTGATTTCAACATTTTTTGTGCAAAAGAAAAAAATATCAGAAAAAAAAAACAATAAAACAAGATTACTAGCAATACTTTTTTGGGAAAAAATGAAAATTACCACCAATATATTTTAATTAAAATTTAAAAAAATACTAGCAATTAATTATTTGTGAAATAAAACAAAATTAACTACAGTACTTTTTTGTAAATGAAATTAATGAAACTGCCAGAGAAAATGAAATGTTGCCATTAAGGTGTTGATATGCCGCTAAGCAAACAGAAAACGAATGATAAATACATGTTAAATCTGAACTTGATGTAATGAATATACATAAACCTGGGTTCCCCCTCACAGTAATATGATTTGCTGGTGTCAGCCATAAGTACAGACTGATGTGGAGGTACAGGACGCCTATGGACGAAGGCTATTGGCTACGCCTATTGTCTTCGCCTATTGCCTACCACTTCGTCGACGACCAGTCCATTATAGTTACCTGTTAGATTGTCCTACCCGGTTACAGTAGTCAGTAACCACTTTGCTACTCCGAACAAATATATCCCTTTCCGGGACATATCATAACTGAAGTTATAAATCAAATTATTGCCTGAAGTTGCGATTATAAAATTGATGTTTGAAGTTAGATTCCGTAATTGACCTCTGACACTCAACTTATTTTATTCTTGATATTTCTAAGGAATATGATGAGGAAAGAGAATTTAGAAAATTTGACAATTGCAAGGGCACATCTTGAAGACCTGTGGGATAGAGGAAATCATTGCCTAAGCTAAATGAGGTTGTATAAATATTTGATACAACATTGATTAGGAGAGAAAGTAAAAGTATAAACATTAGTAAGATCTATAAAGGGCAGGAAATTGTGCAGATCCATTGTCGCCACGTCCTGAAGATTAACATTACCAACTTGAATTTGGAATTATTGTTTATATTTGAATTCCTGGGATGAGGAATTATCATTATTGACACTAGGAATATTGTCATCATCTTTGTTATTGCTATCACAAAGTTTCGACTGTTTTTCCCCCTGGACTTCTTCAGGTGCTTGTCAATCCGCGTAAGCTTCATGGAATGTTGAAACGAAGACATTGTTTAAACTGAGGAGTAGATTGTTTTCTTTCCGCTTTCCATGTCTATGGATATCTTGTCTTGTTCTTATTTAGCAGTAAATAACATTAACTCATTTATTGCTGTTGTGGATTCCGTGAATGGAATCCTGCACAAATAAATAAACAACGTCAGTAACTGAGATAGAAAAATAAGTGTATTGAACGTAGGAATACAGACTTGAAGTGAAGATTAGTAGTCCAGGAATGCGGGTTAGTAGAAAGTATATGTACAAGTCTCTGTAAGTAAAGCCGTAATCATCTCTCTTTCTCTGGACACTTGTATAACTCTCTGAGAACACCCTGTGACTGTCTCAACGTATCTACACGTATCTCAGTATTTAATATCCCACCCACGAGGAATATATGTGACACAAGGCCGAGTTTAATGTGGGCTCGGCCAATAATATGCCCTTTGAAGCCGCCTAGACGGGTTCAGGGCCTGTCTACCTCCCCGGACGAAACCTTGCCCTTCGGCAAAGCTTCGTCCGGGTTCCTCTCTGCCAAAGCAGAGAGTTCGACAGACGTCGCGAAGAGTTAGATACTGTATCGAGATTGTATCTCAACAGCAGGTATTCTCTCTGTCAGTATAAGTATACTTTGGACGAGTCCATCTTATGTAAAAATGGGAGGGCCCCACAACAATTGCCCTTCCCGTTTTCCCTTGCAAGGCAAGTAATTTACACTCAGACATCATTTACCTGGAACTGCTGTTTTGAACAAACTCCAATGTGGATGCTATCCTGACAGTACAACCTTAATCTCTTCAAGGGTCAATCGCTATCTATCGTTCTTATTATCATAATCTTCATCCTCTTAAATTTGTGCCCTGGCCCCTGAAGAGGCGTAAAACTCCACCAACAAGGCGTCATGAGTATGATGATAAACTATATCCACCTCCTGCGTATGACGATAAAATACATCCTGCAAGATTATTACCAGTAATAAAAATCTTGTCGGCATTAAATAACTCATTGAGGTTGATATGCCATAGAAAAAACCAAACGAAACCAAATCAATCCTTTTAAATTTAATAATCCTCTACCACGAGTGCCTCTGGTCCCTTGTATTTGTTAACTCATAGTAGGAAAAAAAAACTACTCAAAAGACTACTCAATAAAAACAATAATCTTTACAGTGCGTATTGCTTAGCGTACCATTATACTATAGATTATAATTCTTATAGCCATTTTAAAGTCAATTTATCGACAATTCCAGGTGACCTTGATGGTAATAATGAAGGTGTACTTAATTATAAGTAAGTCATTATGTAATTGACAATCAATTGAACCTCAGGTCAAAGGTTATTTTCCAATAATTACTTGTTAATTATTAATCTATATACCATTTGTAGCATTGCTTATCACCTCCCGCCTAATTTTGATAATTAAGAATTTAATTAGGACCAGATCAATACACCCAATCGACTAAATCATTTCTTTCGAATTAAATAAAACAATTTTCAACTTCTTTGCAGCAGCTGATTATTAAAATATTTCACAGTCGAGAGGAAATTTTTAAAAAAATCGACAAATCGAAATGAGCGAGTTTTCTGTAAATCAGTTAATAAGCCTTTGCTGCCTTTGATCATCGGTCTATGCTAAAGGGGGGTCCATTTTATATGCCGTCAAATACGAAATAGATATAGAGATAGATAATAAGCAGCCAGTGATAGATCGATAGAGAGAGAGAGAGATAATAAAAACGGTTATATATATATATATATATATATATATATATATATATATATAAAAGTGAACATAGAAGTCAACACTTAGAGGCGACAGTCTGTTTCATGCTATATGCAATCGTCAGGCCACTTTTATATTTACACACGCTCTATCTCTGATATTGAGCACTTTATCCCATAAATATAGCACACCTTAAGACTATATATATGTATATATATATATATATATATATAGTGAGAGATAGATATAAAAAAGACTGGTATATATATATATATATATATATATATATATATATATATAGATAGATAGATAGATAGATAGATAGATAGATAGATAGATAGATAGATAGATAATTAGATAGAAAGGTAGATAGATAATAAAAACGGTTATATATATATAGAGAGAGATAGATAGATATGAAAAGACTGATATATATATATATATATATATATATAGATAGATAGATAGATAGATAGATAGAAATGGACAGAATGGCATAGATAGATATGAACAGAATGGCATAGATAGATATGAACAGATTGAGATAGAAAGATAATAAAAAAGTGATATATATAGAGATAGATATATATAGATATAAAAAGACTGATATATATA